AATCCGCGGGGGATTTAAATATCCCCCGCGGGATTTAAATAAACATGTCCGCCGCTTTTTTCCCGGCTTGGGGAAAAGCCGGAAAAAGGCGTCTAGACTGGTGCAATCCTCTGGAAAAAAGCCCTTTTCCGAAGGATCTCTTATTCCTACTTTCAAAGTAGGAATAAGAGCCTCCGGAAAAGGGCACTTTTTCCGGAGGATCGGGGCCAGTGTAGACGCTCTTTTCCGGCTTTTTTAAAAGCCGGAAAAAAGCGGCGGACATTTTTATTTAAATGCCGCGGGGGATATTTAAATCCCCCGCGGATTTCCCTACGACGACTGGTGAAATTTACATGCCCCTTCCGGAAAAGGGGCCAGTGTAGACGAGCCCGTGGTGTTCTAGTATTGGTTTTCCTGGGTCTGTCTTGAAGTAGATGGTTTCTGGGTATTCATCTGGCTCTTTCAATTTGTTTTTTTATTTCTCCGGGTGGGTAATTGAGGTCTAAAAATGCTTGGTAGAGATCCTGAAGTTTCTGGTCTCTATCAGTGGAATTAGAGCAGATGCGATTGTATCTGAGGGCCTGGCTACAGACGATGGATCATATGGTGTGTCCTGGATGGGAATTGGAAGCATGTAGGAAACTGTAAGAGTCAGTGGGTTTTCTGTAGAGAGTGGTGTCTAATTTACCATTGGTGATTTGTACTGTGGTGTCCAGGAAATGGATCTCTCGTGTGGAATGGTCCAGGCTGAGGTTAATGGTGGGGTGTAGGTTGTTAAAGTCGCTGTGGAATGCATCCAGTGTTTCTTGGCCATGGGTCCAGATCATAAAGATGTCATCGATGTAGCATAAGTAGAGAAGGGACCTGAGGAAATGTTGTTCTAAGACTTAGAGGATGGGAAGATGGTCACTGAGCCCCCCTGGGGAGATGCAGACGTGTGGGGAGGTGAGAGGAATTGTGACGCCCTCCCTAGGAGTTTCCAGGATCTGGACAGTCTGGGGCCCTTGCTAACACTCACAGCTCTGCAGTTACACCCCTGCCTGTTTCTAAACCTGCAGAGCCCAGAGCCCTCCCCATCGGACGGAGGGGAACAGGGATTCTGGGTGCAAGTGAGAAACAACACAGACAGGAGAATACATGGCCCCTCCGCCTTGAAATACACCCTGGTCTCACTGCACAGGGTGCGGAGATGCAAGTTGCTCTCCCCTGGCGGCTGTGCCCATGGAACCCATTCCTGTCCAGGCCACCTGAGCAGGGAAGAACCTGACCCGTGTCGGACACGCAGACCCCACGGCTCCTAATCCCCGAGGGGCCAGGACGCCCTTACCCAGCGAGGTCACCGCCTCGTAGTTCTCCTGCATGACGTCCCTGTAGAGGGCTCTCTGAGCGGGGCCCAGCAGCGCCCCCTGCCCCTGGGTGAAATACACAGCCACCTCCTCGAAGGTCACCCGCATCTGCAACAACAAGAGTCCCTCACCCACTGCCTGCTCCAGAAAAGCAGAATTCCCCCCACCCTGCACAGAGCAGGCAGGAGGCTGGAGGGGGTGACAGGTGAGAGCTCCATGTGTCCCAAGAGGAAGGGTTTTCTCATTCAACCACAGGCTGAGACAGGAAGCCGAGCTCTGAGCTGGGGAGAGGCATCCTGGCAGCTTCCCTTCATATGTCACAGCAGCCTCTGGCCAGTGGAAAATGTCCCCTGCCCTGCCCTGCCCTGCCCTGGGTAGTTATGTCGTGTTTGAGAAAATAGGAATGTCCCTGCCTTCTCTGCTGCCAACAGGCCTGCTAGAAACTCAGTGGGTGCATCTAGACTGGCAAGATTTTGTGCAAAAGCAATTGCTTTTGTGCAAAAACTTGCCAGCTGTCTACACTGGCCGCTTGAATTTGCACAAGAGCACTGACGTTCTAATGTAAGAATTCAGTGCTTCTTGCGCAAATACTCTGACGCTTCCGCTCAGGGATAAGCCCTCTTGCACAAGAATACTTGCGCAAGAGGGCCAGTGTAGACAGGTACCTTAATTTTTTTGCGCAAGAAAGCCCGATGGCTAAAATGGCCATCAGAGCTTTCTTGTGCAAAAGCGCGTCTATACTGGGCACAGATGCTGTTGTGCAAAAGTGCTTTTTGCGCAAAAGCATCCGTGCCAATCTAGACGCTCTTTTGCGGAAATACTTTTAACGGAAAAACTTTTCCGTTAAAAGTATTTCCGCAAAATCATGCCAGTCTAGACGCAGCCATCAGGTTTATCCCACCCTGTCTCCTCCCTTCCTCTTCCTCCCCTGCCCAGCAGCTCCCTGAAAATCCCCTACCTGAGCTGACTCCATCCCAGCCATTGCCTGGCCCTGTCCCCTGGCAGACAGGCGCTCTGGAGCAAAATCTGGATGTGATTCCTCAGTTTGTCAGAGCAAGAGAGGTGATTAGGGAAGTTATAGTAGGGGCTTGAGTCCCTGTCATACCCCGAGTCCCCCCAGGCTCTTTAGACCCTCCCAGGAATAGCATCCCTGAGCCAAACATCAGAATCAAAGGAGTTTTTCTTGTGGCTTGCCCTAACTTTGCAGTGTGGCAACACCTGATGAACCAGCTGCCCTGGACTCCCCCTGCAGCCTCCAGGGACAGGCAGGTAGAGGCTGATTCCATTGGCCCATCTCCCCCCTGCCGAACCAGCAGTGACTCCGGTCTGACACCGGTGTGGCCAAGATCTGAAATGTGTCCAGAAATGAAAGCAGGGCACCAGGCGGCCCCAAATACTCAGGAGATGGGTGTGATGATTCACAGTGTTTTGGGGAAGGACACCGGCAATCTTGTGCGTGTGCCCTGCCTGCCAGTGACAGAATTACAGCCCCCTTACTTCTCTCTGAGAGCATCCCCACAGGGAGCTATAGCCCGGGAATTTATGAGCCGTTAACTTCACACCTTAAGCATCTGACCAGGCAGAGAAGCCGTGAAGAAGTAAAGGGAAAGGAATATAAGAGAGAGAGAAAAGAGAGGAGGGAGAGTCTCTGATAACTCCTTTGGTTTAAAATATTTTAATTTGTTTTCCCATGACACCCACCCAAATGGAGGCAGATGTTCAGATATCGTTATCTGGCAAAGAAGCTGAAGTAGAAGCCACACAATCAATAGTTGTGTTTTCAGGCCAGGAACAATAGCAGGTCCTTGTACATGGGAGTCGGCAGCAGAGTCAGTATCTCTATGAAAATGGGTGGTTTTGCCCCGGGGTTCCCGCATTAACTATCCCCCTGCAAAAGCAGAACAGAGGCAAAGCACTTGAGTTTCACCACCATGTAAACTAGGCGAACTCAGAAGTGTGTGCTCCACTCCCCCTTCCCTCACCTGACCAATGCAGAGGAGAGCAGAGCAATTCATTAAAAAAACTGGCCCACGAAAGCTCATCATCTAATAAACCATCTTGTTAGTCTTTAAAATGCTACATAGTCCTGTCTTTTGTTTCGGCTACACCAGACTAATACGGCTACATTTCTATCACTAAAAAAACGTGGTGACTTTGGCCATATAATCAGTACGTGTATCAAAATGAAGAGCATCCCTGAAATGTATCTTTGGTCAGAAGCTGAGAATGGGTGACAGGAGAGAGATCACTTGTTGATTCCCTGTTCTGTTCACGCCCTGTGGGGCACCTGGCTTTGGCCACTGTCAGGAGACAGGACCCTGGGCTAGACAGACCTTTGCTCTGACCCAGTCTTGGCGTTCTTATGTTTTTATCACAACAAAAAAGATAGCACCCATGAAAGGCTGTGAACTTAATATAGGCAATTAAGTGTCAAGATAAACCAACATCAGAATCTTAAAAAACAATGAAGAGTCCTTGCAGCACCTGAGAAACTAAGCAGAAATGTAGGTGGCATCATGAGCTTTTCAGAGGTGCCCACAAAAGCTCATAACACCGTTTACGTTTTTTTGTTAGGCTCGCAGGTGCGACAAGACTATTTGTGGGTTTTTAAATTTTTTTTCCCACTTAGGCTATGTCTAGACTGCAAGCCTCTTTCGAAAGAGAGCGTCTAGACTGCACGCGGAACTTTCGAAAGAGCAAGCCGCTTTTTCGAAAGAAAGCACCCAGTGAGTCTGGATGCTCTCTTTCGAAGAAGCCCTATTTACATTCAAGAACGCCTTCTTTCGAAAGAAGCACTTTCGAAAGAAGGCGTTCTTCCTCGTGAAATGAGGTTTACCGCCGTCGAAAGAAAAGCCGCGTTCTTTCGATTTAATTTCGAAAGAACGCGGCTGCAGTCTAGACGCAGGTGAAGTTTTTTCGGAAAAAGGCTACTTTTCCCGAAAAAACCCCTGAGTCTGGACACAGCCTTACAGACTACAGGCTACCCCTCTGAAACCAACATAAATGAAGTCCTAAAGAGGACTTAGGAAGGAACAACCCATTTCACACACACAGAATGGGAAGCGACTGTCTAGGAAGGAGTAATGCCGAAAAGGATCTAGGGGTCATAGCGGACCACAAGCTAAATATGAGTCAACAGTGTGACGCTGTTGCAAAAAAAGCAAACATGATTCTGGGCTGCATTAACAGGAGTGTTGTGAGCAAGACACAAGAAGTCATTCTTCCGCTCTACTCTGCACTAATTAGGCCTCAGTTGGAGTATGGTGTTCAATTCTGGGCACCGCATTTCAAGAAGGATGTGGAGAAATTGGAGAGGGTCCAGAGAAGAACAACAAGAATGATTAAAGGTCTAGAGAACATGACCTATGAAGGAAGGCTGAAAGAACTGGGTTTGTTTAGTTTAGAAAAGAGAAGATTGAGGGGGGACATGATTCAAGGATCTAAAAGGGTGTCACAAGGAGGAGAGAGAAAAATTGTTCTCCTCGGCCTCTGATGATAGAACAGGAAGCAATGGGCTTAAACTGCAGCACAGGAGGTTTAGGTTGGACATTCGGAAAAACTTCCTATTGAGATGGTTAAACACTGGAATTAACTGCATCCCCAGCCCCACTCCAAAGCAAAGATTTACCCAAAGCATGGACATTTTCATTTTATTTTCCAAATAACAAAAATTAATGAAGGATCCAAGCAACGCTGGGTCAATAGTCTGGTTGTTCTAGGTGTTAGCGGTTTCCTTCTGATCTCTGGATGAAGAGAATACAGCCCTAGACAGGAACAGCGTTAAACTCTAACAAGATATAAGTCAACACAGACTACAGGGTGGACCTCTCTGGTCCGGCACCCTTGGACCTCATTGGTTCCAGATGAGGAATTTTCCTGGACCAGGGTAGGTCATTTTTGCCCCCCTTCATCCGCACTGCTGGCCCATCCCCTACACTGCTCTGCCACCGGGCTTCCCTGTTAACTTCGCCCACTCCTGCAGTCCAGCTGAGGACGCTGTGGGCCGTCCTTCCTTCTCCCGCCCCCCAAATCCATCAAACCAGGTACCAGGCCTCCCAATCCCTTGCAGCGTTCTGGAACATCTGTGGTTCGGCATTTTCAGTTTATAGACGTGCAACCTGTATTACTCTCTTCTTCCCATTTTTTCACAACAAGGCTGTGTCTACACTGGGCCCTTATTCCGGAAAAGCAGCTGCTTTTCCGGAATAAGCTGCGAGCTGTCTACACTGGCCGCTTGCTTTTCTGGAAAAGCACTGACGATCTACTGTAAGAAATCAGCTGCTTTTCCGGAAAAACTATGCTGCTCCCGCTCGGGCAAAAGTCCTTTTTCGGGAAAACTGTTCTGGAAAAGGGCCAGTGTAGACAGCACAGTAGTCTTTTCCGCAAAAAAGCCCCGATTGCAAAAAAGGGCTTTTCCGGAAAAGCATCCTGCCAATGGAGATGCTCTTTTTCCGGAAATACTTATAACGGAAAACTGTTCCGTTTTAAGCATTTCCAGAAAAGGGTGCCAGTGTAGATGTAGCCCAAAAGTTTACATTTTAAAGCTCTAGCTTATCTAATGTGGACTGGAACCTAATTACCATTTACACACATTTCTAACATGTCTCTAAGGATGAATCAGAGTCAATCAGTCTGCAAATTGCTGACCCCTTTCTTGGGAATTGTCATGGAATTTTTGATCCTTGGTGGATTCTTCCATGTACAAGGAGGTCTGACTTCTGTATGAAACATTTCCCACAGTCCATGCATTTATGGGGTTTCCGTCCCGTGTGGATTCTCTGATGCCTAACAAGGTCTGACCTCCGCATGAAACTTTTTCTACATTTAAAGCACTTATGGGGTCTTCTTCTTGTGTGCAATATCTGATGGCTAACAAGTTCCGACCTCCATATGAAACTTTTCCCACAGACTAAGCACTTATGGGGTCTCTCTCCTGTGTGGTTTGCCTGATGTTTGTCAAGGGCGGACTTTACCCTGAAATTTTTCTCACAGTACAAGCACTTGTGGGGTCGCTCCCCTGTGTGGAGTGTCTGATGATTTATAAGAGCTGATCTCTGTGTGAAACTTTTCCCACAGTCTAAGCACTTATGGGGTTTCTCTCCTGTGTGGATTCTCTGATGTCTAACAAGGTCTGAGCGTGACATGAAACTTTTCCCACAGTCTAAACATTTGTGGAATCTTTCTCCTGTGTGGACTGCCAGATGTCTAACTAGTTCAGACCTCCACATAAAACTCTTCCCGCAGTCCAAGCACTTATGGAGTCTCTCCCCAGTGTGCATGCTTTGATGATTTTTAAGACCTGATTTCTGTGTGAAACATTTTCCACATTGCAAACACTTATGGGGTCTCTCTGCTGTATGGATTACCTGATGTTTATTGAGGTCTGAACTCTGTATGTGACTTTTCCCACAGTCCACATACTTGTGTGGTCTCTCTGCAGTATGGGTGTTTTGATGATTTATTAGACATGATCCCTGTATGGAACTCTTTGCACAGTCCAAGTATTTATGGGTGCTCGCTCTACTGTGGATTCTCTGATGTCTAACAAGGTCTGACCTCTGCATGAAACTTTTTCCACATTCCAAACACTTATGGGGTTTCTCCCCTGTGTGGGTTCTCTGATGTCTAACAAGGTCTGACTTCTGCATGAAACTTTTCCCACATTCCACGCACTTGTGGGGTCTCTCTCCTGTGTGGACCGCCTGATGTGAAACAAGGACTGACCTCTGTATGAAACTTTTCCCACAGACTAAGCATTTGTGGGGTCTCTCTTCAGTGTGCATTGCCTGATGTTTGTCAAGGGCTATCTTTTCCTTGAAATGTTTCTCACAGTACAAGCACTTGTAGGGTCTCTCTCCTGTGTGGATTACCTGATGTCTAACAAGGTCTGACCTCCATCTGAAACTTTTCCCACAGTCCAAGCACTTATAGGGTCTCTCTCCTGTGTGGACTCTCTGATGTAAAACAAGGACTGACCTCCGAACGAAATTTTTCCCACACACTAAGCATCTGTGGGGTTTCTCTCCCGTGTGGATTGCCTGATGTTTCTGAAGAGCTGACTTTTCCTTGAAAGTTTTCTCACAGTGCAAGCATTTGTAAGGTCTCTCTCCTGTGTGGATTACCTGATGCCTAACAAGATCTGACCTCCATCTGAAACTTTTCCCACAGTCCACGCACTGATAGGGTCTCTCTCCTCCATGGATTGCTTGATGTCTAACAAGGTCTGACCTCCATCGGAAACTTTTCCCACACTCTAAGCACTTATAGGGTCTCTCTCTTATGGGGCTTTTCTGATGTGTAAGTGCTGTCGACTTCCAATTGAAACTGTTTTCACAGTCCAGGCATTGGCAGGGTTTGTCTCCTATGTGGCTTTTCCCATGGCTATTGAAGTCTGAGCAGTTATTGAAGCTTTCTTCATGGTCCAAGCATTGAAGGGGTTTCTCTCCGGAAGGGATTGTCCCGGGTGTCACAAGCTGTAATCTTAGAATGAAGCCTTTCCCACACTGCAGACACTGGAAGGGTTTCTCTCCCTTGGCATTTATGTGCTGTGCCGTCGGATCCTTGTCTCCTCCCTCACATTTAATAGATTCATCCACTTGCCTCTCTGAGTAGTTTCCCGGCAGCCTCTCTGAGCTGGGCCAGTTCAAAAAGGCTTCTCCTTGTTCCCAGCAGAGAGAAAAATTCCCTTTAGCTCGTCCCACAGAGGTCCCCTGTGATTCCATTTCCACTAGAACTTCCTGATGGGAATTCTCTTCCTCCTTCACACTCAGTGTCTCATCACCTGCTGGGAGAGAGACAATCCAGGCAGGAGTCACTGAGCTGGGGAGAAAGAGGAACAGCACCCAGGGAAAACCCAACACACTGAAATCGCACAGGACGAGCAATGGGATTCCGTCTTCACTTCCCACAGAAGCACACACAAGGAAGGAAACTCCTGCCTCTGTGCATGCTATCTGCTGATTACAGCCTTACACTGAGTATGGGGAAGCAGATTTCACGGAACATACTTACACCACATTTGGGGGATTTTCAAGTTTTCCCTTCATTCCCCAGCGGGTTTCTGTGTCAGTCCTCACCTGTGCGGGTGCCTCCTGGGATCTCTCCTATCTCGTCGAGCACCCAGGGCTCTTCCCCTCGTTCCAGCCGGGCGATCAGCTCAGGTTTGGGAACGGGAAACTCTGCGCAGGGGGTGAAAGCAGAGCAGATCAGGAAACACGAAGGGTGGGGAGAACATCTGTCCCAAGGGACATTCCGTGAGTGGAAGCTATCCCCGGGCTCTGCTGGGGAATGCAAATTTCAAGAGGACGGGAACATGGTCACTGAGTCCTCTAGGGAGAGGCAAATAGCTTTGGAGAGACGTGGGATTTTTACACCCTCGCTAGGCGTTCCCAGGATCTGGCCAGTATGTGGGGGCTCACATAGCTCTGCAGTTAAACCCCTGCTTGTTTATAAATCTGCAGAGCCCAGAGCTCTTCCCACAGGTGGAGGTAGTCCCAAGAAGCGAGGTATGTAAGGATTCTGTGTGTGGCAGAATAATGACTCACTTCTGCCCCTTGAAAGCAGGAAGGGTGGGGAGGTGTGAGGAGACGGAGACCTCTCCCCCTGCACTGGCTAATGGGGTTAAAACAGGCCTTGGAGAGGGCTGTGGCAGGAACCAATTGGGAGAAGGCTTGAGGCAGCCAATCAGGGCCTGGCTGAGGGATATAAAACTGGGGGCACTCAAGTCTCTCTTGGACTCCAGAGGGAGAAGGACTTGCTGCCTAGAGAGAGAAATAGTGAGATGGAGCAGCCAGGGAGCCAGCAGGGTTCCACCTGAGCTACCTCACTGGCCATGCAGCTCAGAGAGGAGTGAGGACCCCAGAGTGTGGACACAGCCAGGGGGTAGGACCCATGGGAGGGAGAATCATAGAATACTAGCACTGGAAGGGACCTCAAGAGGTCATCGAGTCCAGTCCTCTGCCCTCACGGCAGGACCCAGCACTGTCTAGACCATCCCTGATAGATATTTATTTAACCTGCTCTTAAATATCTCCAGAGATGGAGATTCCACAACCTCCCTGGGTAATTTATTCCAATGTTTAACCACCCTGAGATTAGGACTTTTTCCTAATGTACAACCGAAACCTCCCTTGCTGCAGTTTAAGCCCATTGCTTCTTGTTCTATCCTCAGAGGCCAAGATGAACAAGTTTTCTCCCTCGTCCTTGTGACACCCTGTTAGATACCTGAAAACTGCTCTCATGTCCCCTCTCAGTCTTCTCTTTTCCAAACTAAACAAGCCCAATTCTTTCAGTCTTCCTTCATAAGTTATGTTCTCTAGACCTTTCATCATTCTTGTTGCTCTTCTCTGGACCTTCTCCAATTTCTCCACATCTTTCTTGAAATGCGGCGCCCAGAACTGGACACAATACTCCAACTGAGGCCTAATCAGTGCAGGGTAGAGTGGAAGAATGACTTCTCGTGTCTTGCTCACAACACTCCTGTTAATGCATCCTAGAATCATGTTGGCTTTTTTTACAACAGTGTCACACTGTTGACTCATATTTAGCTTGTGATCCACTATAACCACTACATCTCTTTCTGCCATGCTCCTTCCTAGACAGTCGCTTCCCATTCTGTATGTGTGAAACTGATTGTTCCTTCCTAAGTGGAGCACTTTGCATTTGTCCTTATTAAGCTTCATCCTGTGTACCTCAGACCATTTCTCCAATTTGTCCAGGTCATTCTGAATTATAACCCTATCCTCCAGATTAGTCGCAACCCTTCCCAGCTTGGTATCATCTGCAAACTAATAAGCGTACTTTCTGTGCCAATATCTAAATCATTGATGAAGATATTGAACAGAGCCGGTCCCAAAACAGACCCCTGCGAAACCCCACTTGTTATACCTTTCCAGCAGGATTGTGAACCATTAATAACTATTAATAACTACTCTCTAAGTACGGTTATCCAGCCAGTTATGCATCCAACTTATAGTAGCCCCATCTAAGTTGTATTTGTCGTTTTCCGCAAAAAAGCCCCAATCGCGAAAATGGCGATCGAGGCTTTTTTGCGGAAAAGTGCGTCTAGATTGGCCACGGACACTTTTCTGCTAAAAGTGCTTTTCCAGAAAAGCATCCTGCCAATCTAGACGTGCTTTTCCGAAAATGCTTTTAACGGAAAACATTTCCGTTAAAAGCATTTCCGGAAAATCATGCCAGTGTAGACGTAGCGAATAAGTGTACTCTCTATGCCGATATCTACATCATTGATGACAATATTAAACAGAACCGATCCCAAAACAGACGGCTTCAGAACCCCACTTGTTATGCCTTTCCAGCAGGATTGTGAACTGTTAATAACTACTCTCTGGAGGCTGCCTTCTGGGAGGGATTTAGGGCCTGGCATGGTGGAGAGGGGAAGGTTTGGAAATAGCAGATGGGACACGGCTGGAGGAGGGCTCCCCAGAGCTGGAAAGAGCTAATTCTTGGGCTGGCTGCAGCGCTGGGTGTGCTTGTATTACACGTGTGCTCAGCACGTCCATTAGGCTTTGACACCGTGTCCCATTGGAAAGGGAACAGAGATGCAAGTCTCTCTCGCAGGGCAGCTGTGCCCTGGGTAACCCAGTCCCCTCATTTCTCTGAGCAGGGAAGAACCTGACCCGTGTCGGACACGCAGACCCCACGGCTCCTAATCCCCGAGGGGCCAGGACGCCCTTACCCAGCGAGGTCACCGCCTCGTAGTTCTCCTGCATGACGTCCCTGTAGAGGGCTCTCTGAGCGGGGCCCAGCAGCGCCCCCTGCCCCGGGGTGAAATACACAGCCACCTCCTCGAAGGTCACCCGCATCTGCAACAACAAGAGTCCCTCACCCACTGCCTGCGGCCCCAGCCACCATCCTGCTAATCATGCGGGGGCGGCTCCTAGAAAAGCAGGATCCCCATCACCCTGCTCAGAGCAGCCAGGAGGTGGGAGAAGGGGAGAGCTTCTTGTGCCCCCAGCAGACAGGGCAGGGCAGGGTCTTCTCATTCCCCACACCCCTCCTAGCCGCAGGCTGATGGGAAGCTGAGCTCAGAGCCAGGGACAGGAATCCCGACAGCTTCCCTTGGTATTTCACAGCAGCCTCTGCCCAGTGGGGTCAGGTTCCAGCCCTGGGCATCTGGAAAATGTTCCCAACTCTGCCCAGGTTGAGTGTGTCCTGTTTGAAAACATGGGAACGTCCCTTCCTTCCCTGCTGCCAATGGGCCTGCTCAGAAACTCAGCGGGTTTTCCCCCACCTGCCCAGAAGTTCCCTGACATTCCCCTACCTGAGCTGGCTCCATCACAGCCATTGCCTGGCCCTGACCCCTGGCCGATGGGACGCTCTGGAGTGAAATGTGGACGTGATTCCTCAGCCTGTTGGGATGAGAGGGGTGATTGGGGAGGTTACAGAAGGGGCTGGAGTCCCGGTCACAGCCCTGTTTCCCCTTCCCAAAAATAGCATCTCTGAGCCAAATGCCAGAAAAAGAGCAGAAACAAAAGAACCACTAAGGAGGATTCTGCCTGATACTGTCGTGTGACCCTCTAGCCCCCTCTCATCACCCAGCTCTTGCCCTCACCCCCAACCCCCTGCCCTGAAGGAGCTGGGCATCATTGAATAAGTCTGCTTGTGTTACATGGTTTAATTTGCTCTCCATGATGCCCCTATAGATGGGAGCAAACCGGCGCAGTCCCTGGGAATGGAGCTGGAGTAGCAGCCACACAAGCAGAACCAGAGTTTTCAGCCCTTGTACAATAATGGGCCATTGAACATGGGAGACAGCAGCACAGTCGGTGTCTGTAAGAAAAGGGGGGGGGGGTTCGCCATGGGGCAACTCACCTGCATTAGGTATCCCGCTGCGACAACACAAAGGGTGAGGCCAGGCCTGTGTCCCCCTGCCTGAGCAACGCCAGGCAGAAGCCAAAAATGATTTGAATTTGGCAGGGCAGATCAGCACCTTGGGCAGAACGAAGAGCAGCCCTGAAATGCATCACAATACAGCGTCCATCAGAGGCTGGGAACTTAGCACGGGCAAGGAGAAGTGGAAACAGAGCAGCTGACAAATGAAGTCCCCGAAAAGCAGGAGGTACATGTGGGTGTGTGCAATGGGGGTGGCTCATGGGTGACCCTGTAACCCAGTGGTCACCAACCAGTCGATCGGGATCGACTGGTAGATCTTGGAGCCTCTGACAGGTGATCCTGACTGGTTTGGCCAAGAGGCTGTCAAGTGCAGGGGTGGATATAGGGCGGGGCAAGCGGGGCGGCCACCCTTGGCCCCGCGCTTCAAGAAGCCCCGCACATGTGCTGTGGTGCCACCGTGCATGCGCAAAATGGTCATCTGCCCCTGATCAAGTGCCAGCATTTCAGCTGCCCTCCCCACTAACGCTCATCTCCTGCCCTTTGCCTTGGAACTGCCCCTCCCCGGGAGCCTCCTGCTTGCGGTGCATAGCAAAGAAGGGAGAGGAGGGTGCTTATGTCAGGGTGCCCCCTCTCCTCCTGTGTTCTATCTCCACGGAGCAGAGAGGGGGCACAACAGAGCTTGGGATGGAGTTTGCTGGCTGCTTTTGGGAGTGGCAGGAGTGAGGCTGCCTTAGCCCCACTGCATCACCAACCAGGAGCCACCTGAGGTAAGCAGGGCCCAGATGGAGCCCACATCCCAAACTTCTACCCCAATCATGAACCCCCCTCAAACAGCCCAAGCCCAGAGCACGCCTGCAGCCCAACTGCCTGTCCCAAGAGCAGCTCAGAGCTCTCACAGTCCAGATCCCTGAATCCAAGACCAGAGCCTGCAGCCCAAACCTCTACCCCAGCCTGATGAAAGTGAGTGAGGCTAGGCAAGAGAGGGAGGCTGGAGTGAGCAGGGGCGGGGCCTTGGAGAAGGGGTGGAAAGGAGGCGGGGCCACGGTACTTATATTTGAGGTAGCTCTTAGATCGCACTTAACATTCAAAAAGTGACCTTGTGCTTAAAATGCTGGCGATCACTGCTGCAACCAACCCCTCTGGAGCTACGGATCCTTTGGACGGGAAAAGCCTGAGGCTGGAAGGCCGGGAAGGCAGGACACACTGGGACAGAGAAATTCCTTGTGTTTCTTTTTTATTAGAATTCTAGAATTGCGGGGGAGGATGACGGCACAATGACGTCCCCCCGCGCAGTGACAATGCGGCTTAGAATGGAGAGCTCCGAGTCAGAACAATGGGAGCCAAGACCCTGGGCAAGCGGGGAAGCCCCTCTGCCCCCCTCCCTCTAGTTTTGCAACCCCAGCAGCTGGCTCAGCCCATGGGGGAACTTTCACCCCTTTTGCCCCCCTACTCCTGGGTTTTACCCTCTGCGCTGCATGGCACGGTCTGTGCCCCGGCTCACCCCACACTCTGTACAGGCGGGCGGCAGCTGCCCCGGGCCCGGGCGGGGACTCGCAGCCAGCT